CTTATTAACATCATAGGGCCGACTGACCGCCTTCGCTCAGAATCTTTCTTCGTATACAATGATATTATATCATTGAATTCAAATTTAACACCATCCATTACAGTGACCCACTTGTAATTTACGTACAGCAGAGTGACAACTATTTGTTCAACTTTTTCATAGTTGAATATTAAACATTTGGTATTCATCATAACGTGCATAACTATAATATATTATTGCATAAACATGATTATACAATTTTAGTTTTAGATTATATATATTTTTTATTGAAAATAAATTAAACATATATACCCAGATTTTTTTGCAAGAGTCAACAGAACACCCTAAAAAAATTACTGGTAATGAATGCTTGAACTTCAATATAAGTCCTAATTTAAATACAACAGAGATTGGTAACTATATTTAACCGCAGTAACGCAGAATTAGTATGAATTGGTGTCAATGATATATTGCAAAAATGAGTAAATTGATTAATTTAATACAAACTAGACATTAAACGTAGGACATTATGTTAACTCGATCCCATGTCATATTGCAAGGTAATTATTATTGGGCAAGCCTCCCTTACCATTTTATAGTATCCTTAAAATATAACCGTGTCTTGAGGGCTTTTGGCAACACTGATTGCGCCTTCGGTGGGTCCTGGCGGCAGCTGCGGCGACCACAGTAGCTTTAGCAGCTTCGAGTCAAGTTGTTGGCACCGCTCATGACTGTGCTTTTTAGTTAGTCCATGCACATTATACCCATCTCTTCTGGCAATTTTCCTAAAAATAGTTATTCTTTAATCATCACTAATAATTTAATTTTTTTTCAACCAACTTAACACTTTTCATTGGCACTGTCACGTGTATAATTTTTCTACAATAGTAAAAAAAAAAATTCGAAAAGACTGGTGAGTGATATGTAAATATTATTAAATACTAATTTATTTCGCACCATTGTATATTCTTTATAATTTTAAATTTATTTCACCGTTATAATATCTAAACAAATATGATTTCAAATTGCATTTTTTTTTGTTTTAATATATTTATAGCTATAGCTAAGGTATGTTTAATATTATTCGAGAATGTTTACTCGTATTTTATTAATATTAATACAATTAACTAACTGTTACTTGAGGTGTATGAAAATGATTTGTACACTATACAAAATACAAATACAGTGTGTGTATACCTTTTATGTTATTATTTTATAGTTTTATAGTTTTTTTTATTCATTCTCTTACGGTAAATATAATAATGTTTTTAAATCATATATTATGTTGATGAAACATATGATTATTTTTTATAACATATTAGATAATAATTATAAATTAAATTATAGTAATTATTATAATTCTGAACATTTTGTGAATAAGTTTAAAATACGTTGCCATCATATTTTCAATTTTGAACCTAGTAAAACTTCGACCATTTATGAATGGAACTATATATAACATACACAGACACACAGACACACAGACACAGACACACACAGACACACAAACACATACACACACACATACACACACACACTATAGTGTATTAAAAGTATGTTTTTATGTTTTTTAATAATTAGAGATATTACTACTATATTAGTATCTAACCTGTTGCTTTGTGAATAAAAGTATTGTTGTAAATACAAAGAAAAAAATATGTATTTTATTGTCTTTGTAAAGAGTGAAGACTAATAAAACTAGAAATGGCTTATTGAAAAGTCACACGCAATAAAATCGTTACACTTATATTTCTCGAGTGAATATAATAGATTAAATAAATATAAACAGTATATAATATAAGAATATTTATAATAACTTTTAAACAAATAACTATTGGAATTTAGTCTTTGACTTTCCCAGGAAAAAAAATAGTTGGAATATAGGAAAAATGTTTCTTTTTATTTTGTAAAGAAATCTTTTATTTATGTGTTTAAAATGTGTAAAGAGTACTGGAGACTATAAAGTATAAAGTATATTTTTTAGGAACGATATAGAGTTGTTATGACGTATTGTTCAGAGCTTTTGGCCTGCACATGATAAGAAGTATTGTCTAATATATTTTCTTTATTGTGATTCATAGTCTTTCGTATCCTTATAAGTTATTGTAAACATTATCCATTGAAGGAACCCCGGTGGTTTTTGGCATAGTTCCTGAAAAAACTGAAATCTAAAGCTTACCAAAAAGACGTCTTAAAGGACTAATTAAGTTTCTTCATCCTTTGTTTTTTTATTGCACTCTGTTCCGACTGGACAGAGACAGAGAATAAAACTCACTACTCGACAGAAATTAAACATTTCCACCACTTTAATTTCGGAACCAACCGCATTTTACCCACTTATCAGAATTAAATCCTCCCTGGAATTCTGTTGGCTGCAATTTCAGTAGACAAAAAAAAAATTAAAATTAAATTAAAAACGTGACGGGCCGTGTTGTTGAAAAAAAAAATCATCATTGTAAGTTATTATATTATGATATTTGAAGTTTAAAAGCGTATTAAAGGCATGGATAAAAGTCATAAAATGAATTTTGTCATAGACATAAGTATTATATTTTGTAACCAGATTTAGTACTTAAATGACTATGACTATAATTTACAAACATAAATTCCTAAAATATTACAGTAAAATAAAATATTATAATATGATACTGTTTTCTTCCTAATTTGTTATCACACGAGAATTCTAGACTTGAACATTTTTAGAGTAGTGTATGTGTATGAAATATATTTTAGCGAGTATAATATTTTATAAAATTATAAAAAAAGTTGAATGTTTAAGTGTATAATATTTTATCTTGGTCACTTTGGCGCAGGCAGCAGTCCATTTTTGTTGTTACTTTAACATTCAAGTTAAACATTAGATGTAACAATATAATATATAACAACAGTATAGTAACTTTATGCACCTCCGTGTTACGAGCAATAAATCATTTATTGGCAGAAAAGCAAGTAAAAGGTAAAATAAATCGAAGTTTGTTTTGTTTTTGTTAAATTTAACAATAACAAAGGGCCAGTTCAATTATTAAATCATTGTAAACATTCCAGTTGAAAATTTAATACATATCATATGCTATATTTAATAAAAAAAACTCCCATAATATTATTTTGCAGTATATTGTACTGGGACTGTTGGTTGCATAATGTATTTAACTACGTATAGAGGTCATTGCATTGAAAGGGTGTTTCCATTAAACTTAAAAAGCTACTTTTTCCTATCAATATTAAATTGCACGTGTTTTTATTTGTTCGACCTATTTAAATATTATTATAACACATTTTAGATGCAATTTTAAATATAGGTTAGTATCCTCTATAGATAGATTTACTTGAGGAAGTTGTATTAACTTTTGATTTTGAAATTAACTTAAGTTTGATAATTTATTGACTTCATATTAAAGTAGAAAATATTTTTCTTAAAGTTTTGATATAATAATTATGTACAATATACACGTTAATTAATTATAGCTATTTTAAAGTTTTGATGAGAGATTAAGGAAATTCAAACATATATATTGATTGGTTACGTATATATTCTACTTCTGCTGTCTAAATTCTGATTAATTATTATTATAAGTAAACTATTGCGTTATGTTTATTGTTTATAGATAAATATTTTTTATCGTTTTTTTCAAAACGAATTTATCGAAATAATTTTACTTTGAAAAGTAAAATGTATTAAATAAAAGTATATTTATAGCATACTTATAGCTTGTAAGGGTAATTAATATTATTTTTATGCTTGAAAAAAGCCAGGAATAGGTATGACAAATCGAATAGAAGGTGTGTTTTAAAATATAGTTAGTGGTTTATAGTTACCGGATTGTTTTATAAATACTACTTTTTTTTACCTACTTTCAATATAGTGTAAGCCGTAAGGTTATAATTTATATATTAGATATTCATTATTACGTATTATTAAGAGTTTAGTTATCAACAATTTTAGGTTTGTGATAATAATTTAACAACATCAGTTTATTATATATGGTCTAAACGGGCATAGGAATGAAAATACTATCAATTATATTATTGTATTCTTGTAAATGATAAAATAAATATTTTTTCAACATTCTGAAAAAATATTAATCAAAATATTGACTTTGGGAAATCGATTGATATATTATCACTATACCTTATTTGTAATGTTGTTTTGAAGCTATATATCAAAGATTAAATACATTCATGAGAATGTTTAGCTTCTAATCATACGATTTATAAAATGGATAAAATAATTTAACGAGTCTTATGAAAGTAATATTACTATTGTATGATTTTCTAAAACTATAGGTAATATTAAAATGCTATGTTTAATAATCGTTTCTTCTTAAAGTAATAAAGTATGACGATGTTGTATCATTCGGTCTGCGCTCATCGATGAAATTCAAAATACAATACCGAATTAATTGTTTTAATTAAGTTATATCTCTCGAATTTTGTTAAGATAACAAAGTGGACAATAATTCTAATTCCTGATGCCTGCATTAAGATATATTTTACAATTATAGTTGAATTTAGGTTTACGGGTATTTAATATGTATTTAATAATATTTGTCGTATTTATCATTTGTAATATATTATTTGAGGGTAAAATTATATAATGACTATAGCAGAATTTTTTTTTAAACGCTCGTGAATCGATATGATTATGTATCATGTCCAAGGCCTTGTGTTTCGGTATTTTGATATTTCAGTCATATAATTTATTGCAAGGTAATTTATCTAATTTTTGATTAATTGGACTTTTATAATTTAGTTTCAACTAGCAGTGCAGATAGTATAACTATAGCTGTGTAAGTACATTTCTCGTCATAAAAACCCACACTGCATTAAAACGTACCACAATACTTAAACATTTTTAGTTATGCCAAACCACCCACAATTGTCGACGAAATATTGGTAGTATATACGAATTAAAGTCGCCTTTTCGATCGTGTCAGATTGGATCGAATCGGATCTGCCGAACGGGGGATAGATTTTAACAGATCCCTTTATTTTTAATATCATTTTCGTCCGCTCATTGTGTTTTAGGTGACCCACAGGCCATTAAAATATTGAATCGAGCAACGAAATAATTGGGCGGTGGCCGCCGCCGCCGATCGCTCCGGTCGTCCTTGTCGTGGACGATGAAGTGCCGGGACAACTGGTGGACCGGGGCGGACCATAGGGTGGCCAGTGCGTGTGCCGATAGCGTGCGACGACCGGGAAAACAGCGCAAACAGCAACGACCTCGCCGTCAGGGGCAACGACAGCGGCTGCAGCAACAGCTGAGGCAACAGCGGCGGCAGCGGCAGCAACAGCAGCAACGGTGAACGATTGGGGGGCCACCGTGCAATGGCGACGCCCCCCGACAGCCCGATCATCGAAGAGGCGACACTAATCGAGCTCGAGGAACAGTTGAACAACACGTCTGCGTTTCCGCACCCTAGGCCCGTCGCCCTTGAGGACCTGTGCCGGCAGACCAAGTTCACCAGACAAGAGATCCGCATCATGTACAGGGGATTTAAACAGGTTGGTGGCGATTTCGAATTTTTTTTTTAATTAACCGTCAGTTATTCTTCTCGTGTACGTCCGACGACCCACGTGACATTCCCCAACATGCCACCAGCCGATTTTTACATCGAACTACTGGTGGTGGGTAGATCGCTATATATGTACTTACCTATTTGTTATTTTATCATAATATGCGGAAAACTCGATTGAAAATGAAACCGTTTTATAACAACATTTTTTTTTTTCATACGCAATACTTAAGATTATTTGAAAGTTAAAACAATAAACGGGGATGGACCCGTACGTGGAGAAGACATTGAGTGAAACGTCCCGAATCCGTTACAATTGCGTATTCCCACCCCCATCCGCCCACCGACACATGATCAAAATCACATGAGAAGATATTAATTATTAGCGTAGGTTATTATTTTACTAGATTATCTGCATAATAACAATAATAGCATTTACGGGAAATATTAGTGCAAAGATCAGGGCAATTATTATTTATTTTGCGTGCAAAATAATAAGAAGTATGCCAGTATTGAAATTTGAAATATATATTTTCGTTGATGTAAAGTGTATAACAGTTCCTACGAGATGTAGTTGTTATATCGTATGCTTCGGAAGAATTGATATTATATTTTCTTATAATTATTAAAATTTTTGTTTGTTATAATTAATGAGCATATTTCTATGTAATTACGAGCGGGTTTCGTTTTTTCCATAGTTGTGATATTTGGCTTTATTTATGATTGTCCTTGAGATCTAACGATAACTTCCCTAGCCTTGAAAAGGTTGTTTAATGAGTTATGACATATATTTTATACTTGTATTTTTAAATATACAATTAACACCGACTGTGTTTTATAACGAGTACCTAACCTACATTTATTCAGTTTGATATTAATATAATAAAAGTTTAAAGTAGGTTATGCAAAAGTTATAGGTAGTATCGCCTATATATTATCCAAAATACTATTATAATGAAAAATCAAAGTTGTCCATAAAGTATTAATAATATTGTTGGTTTAACTATTCCATTATAATATTATGAAGGTACTGCACCCTATAATAATAAAACAATATTATCCATAATGTAATCATTTTTTAATCGCGTTCAATAAACGTGGATGGTTGTCTCTTTTTTTGTGCTCAGCCTGGTACTAAAAAGTATGTTACATATTTTGTAACTTTAGTGGAGGACTTCTTTAATAAAATGTTTCATTCGACATTCCAACACTATTACTATCCCCTGCTAACCAATACACTTATTGTACTATACCCATTGGATATTGTGTCTATATATTACGTTTGGTATTACAATTTTATTAGAGTACCTATACTAAAACAAAAAAACCAATTACTAAACCTAAACGAAAATAAATAATAATAGGAGACGTCATCTTTGTGACGTCGTGATATGAGTTACTTTTAAAAGAGATATTTATAATTTTAATTAATAACTACTATTTTAAGGTACACGTGATTTTAATTTTACACTGGTTTACTTTACTTATAGATATTGTAATTTTTTTGATGATTTTCGTTTGAAAGAAGAAGTGGCCCACTAAATTCAAACATCATTGGACGACGTGTCGGTTCATTAATAAGCTTAATTAGCGGTCATGACAGTTACTCTTATACTGTTTCACTATGTGAGTGTTTAGTACTAATGATGTTTAATTAAGTAGGTGTACGTCGTTCATTTTCACTTTTAAGTGCATAGGGTGTGTTGGGAGGAGGGGAGGTGGAACTTCCCTCGTAATTTTTCACTGGTAGGTGTTAAGTCGTGGTATTCACATGGGAAAACTATGATGTTACAAATGTCTGCGCTATTTTCTGTCAAAAGAACCTATAGATTCCCATTCTTATTTTGTGTTGTCCTGTTTAGTTTGTTCTTTCTAAAAGAGAAAAGAAAACGAGAAAAAGAGTAACTGTGTGGAAAATAATGTAACATTTTTAACGAGTGAAAAATAGATATTGCCGACTGAAAATGACCTTGAGTCGAGTAATTAACATTTTAATGCTGGAAAAATCTCATTTGACGTAATTTAAGGTTCTTTGTAAGTTTATTCTTAGACAGTGGAAAACAAAATGAAACAGTTGTAATAGCTTATAATACTATTTTTTTTGTGATTATTATTAGTTTAACAATTTAAAATATACATATACCAAATACTGATAGTTTGAATTTTTACAATTGATTAGCATTATTGTTAGGAATTAAAGAATTAAACCCTCCTTCATTTATGGATTAGTTATGTTTTAAATATAATATATATATATATTAAATGATTTAATATAGTTTAGTTAATATTAACCATAAAGTAGTTAGATTTAATTTAATCAGTTCTTTATATTTCATTATTTTTGGTATATTTTAATACTTTGATTTTTTAGTATAATATTACCGTGCTTTTATTTTAGGTTTAAATTTCATGTATTTTTCTTGCAAACAATTATTTTTTATTTTTTATTGTAAATAACTAAAATAATTACAATAAGAATAATAACAAAATACCACTAATATTAAAATTGATATTTTGAAGTATTATTAATTTCTATAGGTATTCGATGATATTTAGAAATTAAAAGCTGCTTTTAACAACTTGTATTATCCGATACGTTTTTCGATTAAATTACTATAGTAATACATAGTTCATATAATTTAGGTTATGTTAACCTTTGATATACTTACATTTATTCGTACATTATTTATTTTTGGAGTTTCTTATTATTATAAATATTATAGTTATTATTGTTATTAATTCAGTTTTCAATCTTATTATTTTTAAATTTACTGTTTTGAGCTAATATTTTATGTCACTTAATATGAGTTTATTAATTTTTAGATTTAAACTATAAAACATATTGCTTTTGATATCGTTATTGAAGCAACACAACAAATAGCTAGTGAGATTTTAATGTAGTTTTATATTCTATTGGATATAAAATATCATATTTTATTTACTTTTTTTTTTTAAATAACTGATTTTTTGTGTTGTCTTTATAATATAATATATTATACGTAGTATTTACGTATGTACCTACGTATTTACCCATACATTTCAGATTAATCTTGAAATTTTCATAGCATAACACACCCTTTAGATTTCTTATTTTGTGTACACTGAAAATGTAACTGACAGGTAAACATAATATATATTCATAAATCATGAAAACAATTCGAGTATAACATTGTGTAAAGAATAAGAATAAATATGTTTAAGTAATAAAGTGTGTGAGATACATTTCCATATCATAAACTAACAATATTTTCTAATAATTTATTTGTTCATGTATTTTTCGGGATGTTTGAAATATTTTTTTTTTGTTTTTTTGTACAATTATGACGAATAACACTGTGCCACACTTATATTTGTTTAGTGGTACAAAATACGATACATAGGTACAATTTTTTTCTGAACACCTACTACAACAATAATATAATTACACTTCTATAGAATGTATTTTAGAATAAATGTAATAGATATATTCAATGAAAGTGATTCATGATGATGCATGTACAATTTTTTTTTGCGATGGGGTATTATAGTTTCCATTAACCCATCCGACTAATCGGACATAATTAATGAATTGCCTTATACAGTTCTGCGTGTATATCAGTACTTTTTAGATACATAGATAATAAACTTTATATGCGAGTACGTGACTATACATAATGAGTAGGGTCGGGTATTTGTGTGACTTTTTTTTGTACCCTAAAACATTACTGTCCTAGTGCAAAATTTCAATCATGCCACATTGAGAGTGGCTTTTCATATCAAAATTATATTTTTACTATGCATATAAAAATATTAATATATTGTGGAATATAAAACGCCTGTTACAATATAGGTATATGACATACCTAGTAAAATAGAAAATAGAAAAATGAAATATTTTCTGCTTAAACATATCCGTATTGTTCAGGGCATGTTTTATTGTATCCTAGGTAGTTTCAAGGTAATTATATATTTATATGTAATATTGTTTCAGTTACTTTTGTTTTATATTTATATATTAGAAACGCGTTGGTATAAAATAGGCATGAAGTTGATAATGATTATTGTCAACACAATTAAAAAAAACCTGATAATTTCAAAAATAATTGCTTGCTTAAATCTAAATTATTAATGAAATGCATTAACAAAATATCATAGTTATGCAATAGCGGGAAAACCATTATACGACCGTAATATTACGTGGTGTAGCTATAAAGCCTACTCTGAACGCCGTGTGATCATAATTTTATAATTAAAATGCATTTTTATTTTATTTAATATTATACCATTTATTTTGTTTTGTATTTTTGTTTGTACGTAGGTATATTATTATTATTTTTTGATTAGTATCGTTATATTTTTGTAATTACATAATATAATCTATATTCCATAATATTTGGAAAAGAAAAATTCATACTAATACGTGAAACAGAACAACAATATATCTACCATATCTACCAATATCTATCATATTAATTATCTTTCACACATGCGACATGGTAAATTTTGTTTCACGAAATCAAAATTATTAATTTAAAACCGCAGTAATTGGAGTATAGGTATCTACTGAATACAAAACTTTAAGAGCGGAACTGTTTCTACTGCTTTATGGAATTATACTTTTCTTTTATACTCATTAGAACTTGTATATGTGTTATAAAATACTGAAATATAAATTATATATTCTATAAATATCAAACTATATGGTATTATAATAAGTTAGAGTAATTTTTTTTCTAGTTGTTATAAGTCTATAGTTTTGATATTATACTGAACTGGAATTGGTTGTAATATTACGCACGTGTAAGACAAATATGACAATCTTGATGGGTTGAAAGTGGCGTCCACTTTACATTTTATAATTTATATATGTTTGTGGATTTAAGTCACAGTAGTAACATCAAACAAGTCCTTCACACTTCATCTTTGTCATTATAAATCGTACTGCAATGAAATGTTACACATATTTTGTGGTCGGTTGACATAATTTTGTAAGGTTAAATTATTGAAAAT